TAGACTACAAACTCCATAGAAATTGGTAAACTAAACATGAGATTGTAGTCCATCCCGGGAGTGATCTTGGAGTGGTGACTACTTTACAACACACACAGGGACCATGGGGAAGAAAAGTATCCCCCCCTCCAGAAGGAAGGACAGTGTCAGCACCAATTCAGAGATGATTGGAGGATCTACAGCCGAGTGATACACAAATAAGATACATTGTTGTTCATAGTGAAGGGACTTGAATGCATTTATAAGATTTAACTCCGGAATTTAGTGTCACTTTAATGATCTTTTAATGTATTTTCAGTTGGGGGATTAAAAGTCTCCCATATAGTTCTAGTCCGCCTTTGGTTAATGAAAGCAGATGGGACAGTACCGGGTCCACCCAGGTACAGATGACTTTGTCTCCATTCAGTCAGCATTGGATCAGCTTGCATTCCTCTTCAGCCACCTTCTATAAACAGTCACTGTGTGTATTCAGTGTTACAAAGACAATCGGCCACTGGGGGGTTGCCAGAGGTCATGCGTGGTTAGTAAATAGCTCACTGTTTATACAGAAGCTGCCTGGGGTCCAAACCGCATGGTCACATTGCAGCTCAATCCAGAACAATTCATCCAGAATCTGCAGGGTGTCCCTTTGTTATGTGTCCGGCTGACATCCCTGTGGATCTTCCAGTATCACCATGTCAGGACCTTCCAAGGGGGTTGAGCTGCTTAAAGCCTCCATGAACTTGCTCCTGGTCCGGTAACTCTACCACTGAAAGTGTTCCTTTCCAATATCGGTTTGATAAGCGGATATTCAGAGCTGTCCTGTGCACTATGCAGTGTTATCTCAAGAAGCCCGAATCAGCCCTCCCAGTTCTTTTCTTCTTGGACAACAGAACACATAGGGGTTGATTTATAAACAACGGCCCGACGCATAGCTGTGAATGTTTGCACTCTGTGAATATATGGACAGACGAAGGTTCTTTAGTTTTCTCCTTTACAAGTGTAATTCCATTTGAATGTTCTGATGGCAATATCACATTATGGCCACTAGATGGTGCTAAAGGAGCACAGGAAATACATTGTTTATTTTCAATTCTCCTCAGCTCCATCCAGTGGACATAATTTATTTTGTTCCTTTACAAAGTCAACTTTAAAGGAGAACTATGGGGTAAGTGTTTTTCCCCATAGTTCTCCTCAGGGTAACAGGAGTACACAAACTAACGTCCTCCCGTGACCCAAAGCTCAGTATACCGCCAGCTGTACCCGCCCCCTCCCCCGTCCGTTCCTCCAGTCAGCGCTGGAGGATCAGAGAGGGGAGGAGAGGAATCCCTGCAGGGAGCGGTGACTGACAGTCACGGCTCTCTGCAGGGACAGGATCAAGAAGTGAGCGAGTGACGGTATGTGTTCGCTCACTTCCCGATCTACTGAGCCGACCTGTGACAGTCTCATTGTCACACGTCGGCTCGAACTATGAGGATAAGTGATTTTCACTCGCCTCATAGTTCTCCTTTAAAGTGGAATGTTCAGATTGTAATACTGCATTATGGCCACTAGATGGTACTAAAGGAGCATAGGAAACAAGTATCTATTTTCTAGGCTCCTCGGCTCCATCTAGTTAACATTATTCTTTAGTTTTTTTCCTTTACATGTGAAATTAAATTTTATTGTTCTGATTGTAATGCAGCATTATGGTCACTAGATGGCGATAAAGGAGAATAGCATCTATTGTCTATGTTCCTCGGCTCCATCTAATTGCCATATTGCGGTATTTCAATCAGAACATTTAAATTTAACTAGAATCGTAAAAGGGAAAAAAACTACTTTGAGAGAAGATAAAAATCAGTGACAGATCCAAAAAAATACAGAAACATGTGACTAATCTTTAGGGTTCGACGTGACTCGCCATCAGCAATAACATATTACACACTAGTGACAAATATGCCGACACTAGGCCTAAGCTAACAAGCGATAAACTATAATATAACAACAGCAGATATTATCATATATATTGAGCTATTTCAGAAGTAATGTGTCTCGTGTGAAAATAATTAACTTCTTGAAACTGTTTTTAGCTTTTAGAATAGCCCCTCCCCCAATGGTGCAAACTCCGAACCTGCCTGAGATCTCATCATGATACTACAGCTACTTGAAGTGTGTTCTGGAATTGATCACTCTGGCATGCAAGTGCGATGGAGGAAAGCAGTGACCATATACATATGCGCTAGGGGCTCATTCAACACTGCATTGTAGTGTCTTAGGCTGGGTTCACACCTAGGCGTACCGAATATGCGCGTTTGCCGCGCGGTTTTACCGTGATTCGCGGTAAAAAACGCGCACCAAACGCACGCGTTTCCGAGGGCTAGGCCTTAGGCCTGGTTCACACCTGGGTGTTTTACAGCGCGTTCCTACGCTCTGTAAAACAGTCAACATGTGAAAAACGCCCCCCCCCCCCCCTCCGTCACCCCCCTTGTGACGCCACTGCCTGTGTCCCCTTTCCATTGTCCTGGTGACCATTATCACTGAAAGTGACAGAAAATCCCACATTTCGGGTTAATTTTGTTTATTGAAAGATCGTACAAACAACAATTTATATACAAAAAACCCTAAAAAACAACAAATAAGGGAATAAATAAATAATAAATAAATGAATAGGAAATATTTACAAATAAATCAATGTTATATTTATTCATTATATCCGGAGCAAAGCGATGCGCAGATCATAAACACTATGAGAGAGCCAGACAAGGAACGATCACCCATCACCATGCACGGAGCCCTCAGCCAAAAATGTACTTTAGTTGGAAATCTCGGGGGAGGGAAAAAAGAGATAAAAAGAAAATCTGCACATCCCGAGATCATCAGGGAGCAACTACGGAGTCCTGGTATTCCTCCGCGCCTTTATCCGGGCCTCCCACTACCACTTGTCTTTCTCAGGCCCCCTAAATGTTCCCGACCTCACCCAGAATGCCCTGCACTGCCACCTTGACAGGAAGGATTCTTTTTTTTCCAAAATGTGGGTTATCACCAGAACAGGAACAGATAGGAAATCTTCCAACGGGGACACCAGTGTGCTGAAAGGTGATTCATTCTAACGCACGTGGTTGATTGTGACAGACCTTTTCACATCTCGCAGATTCAGATTTCTTTGTGGCAGGGGCGTCACCAGGGCGGGTGTTATTACATGTATGTGTGACGTCATTGGGCACGCGTGTAATGATGTCATGTGCACCTTACTGCCAGCAGCCATCATGGTGATGGACGCCAGCAAGGAGAGGAGGGGACATTACATTGTTACATAGTATTTGAGGTTGAATAAAGACACAGGTCCATCAAGGCACATCAGGTACATTAATCCGATGGGATCAGGTATGCTGCAGGGTCCCCTCCTCTCTTCTGCAGCTTTCGAGCTCTCGGTCCGTCACTGAGTTCCTGACTATACAGAGGGGGTGACACCAAAATGACTCTTAGTCATTTTGGTGTCACCCCCTCTGATGGTGTCACCCGTGTGGGCTGCCCCCCCTTGTGATGCCACTGCTTTGTGACTCTTGCAAAGCATCTTAGAAGACCATAAGTGTCTGTGCACCATGCCATAGTGTAAGCATGCTGTACACTATGGCATGGTGCACTGTTGTCACCATCAGGAAACCCACTCTGAGAAATGCCATACAGCCATCGCATGTAGACAGGAAGTGGCTTCAAAGAGGCTGCAGGAGTTCAGGGAAGGAACAACTGCTAAAAAAAATGGTGAAAACAGCATTTTATAGGGAAAAAAGGCAATTTCTAATACTACACAGCGCTTCAACCAACTGAATGTCATCCAATTAGGGATTACAACTGATTTAAAGCAGAAGTAAAGCCATACAAACGGCAGGGGGGTCGGGATTTTTTTGGCAGAGGGGACTTTCAAAGGCTCTACTGCCCAAAAAAATTCTTCCTCTCTCCCCGGGAGGTTTTGTATTTTCTGTGCACACTGCATGGTGAATGTCCAGTGTACACCCCCAGCTCATTCATGTCATCTCTAAGATGGGCCTGATGCCAGGGACGGTGTATCTCTTGTGCCATCATCAGCGGCTACCCAATAGCTGAAGAGGATATATGGGAATCTGGAAATGGTGATGGCGAAGATGGCGGCAGCTGGGGACAGAATGGGGGACTGAAGATGAATTGCACAGCAATGGAAAAAAGCACACTAGGCATGGTAAGTGTGCCATAGTGTGCAACCATGCTGTGGGGACTTCAGTGGCGTCGCAAGAGGGGCGCAGGAGGTACGGCCCTCACTGGGTGACACCATCAGACACTGCTAGTCATTTTGGTGTCACCCGCTCTGAAAACTTTGGCACTTGGTCATGGACCGAGAGCCTGACAGTTGCACGAGAGAGGAGGGGACCTTGTGGCATACCTGATCCTGCCGGATGAACGTTCCCTACTCTCTTTGCTGGTGTCCATCACCAAGATGGCTGCCGCGTGATGACGTCATGCATGTGATGATGTCCCAACGGGTGACACCCGGCGGCTGTTCCAGGTCACACGCAAAGCGCGGGACAATACCACGTGTTGCATCATTTGATATTTAAATTGGTAATGAATTGATTTTTTACTATTGCTGGTACCTAAACCAATCACAAATCACTAATAACTAATATCAGTCAATCAATCAAATTTTTATTTGGTGCTGCAAAAAAACATCAGAACAATACTATTCACTAAAATCAAATAATTACATTTAAAGTAAAGGTTTACGAAAATCAATAAATCAGATACATTTACAATAAAAACAAAACAAACACTTTCCCCCCTAGAAATCTGCAACAGGTCAGTACGCTGGTGTCGGGCATCTCTATGCCAATACAGGAATTGGTCGTGCAGTGACCAGAGTCGAACACCAGGAGGCGCTGCGCCCCCTCCTCCGCTCGCTGGTTGCGCAGAGTTTGGAAAGTGACAAGTGAAGGGGGGTGAGAAAGTTTGGAGAGAGGGAGAGAGAGAGGGAGGCAGAGAGTAAAAGCAGCTCCGACCTCTCAGAGCCCTCCGGAAAGGAGGAAAATCTTTGGCTCCATAAACTCCATCAGTGGAGACACACAGAGAGAGAGAGGAGGTGTGCAGCCAGGGGATAGAACTCTCTGCTCAGACCATCCAAAGGCTTTGGGGGGGGGCATCCCAGGGACAGAGGGGACCCCGAATCTACACCGTGCCGGTGACTGATCACAGATCCACAGGGATGTACTCACTCTTACTGGTCACTGCTTTGCTGGACATTGGCTTGTGGGCACACTGGACTCAAGGTAGGACATTGGGGGCTACCTATGGGGTGTGGGGGTTGCTGGTACAGATGTGCATTGATGGAAAGTTTCTTTGCTGTTCAGTTCTGCCGAGCTGGAGGAAGAGTAATCTCTGTGGAGGGGGCAGATCACCTATAGAGGGATCAGTTACTGATGGGGTTGAAGAAGCCATTCATTGAGAGCTATAGAAATGGCCTGTTACCTGACTAGAATAATGGCAAAAGGTCATGTTAAGATAGGGATTTATAGAAAGGTTTGTGACCTATAGATCTGTAGATGCCATGGCTAGTAACAGTGCTTGGTCACTGATCAAAGCGGGCACTCATCGCTAATAAAAAAGGCCTCCAGAATAGGAGAGTCACCCATAGGAGCAACTATGGATCCAGTATGGTATAGATTGCACCCAACACCTAAAGAGGATTCCTTTATATGAGTGGTCATTCATCTATAGACTTGGGCCACTCACCTATAGATCTGTAGATGGTTCGGCTATTACAGTGCTTCTAACACCTATAGAGGATTTCTTTTATCTGAGTGGCCACTCATTAATAGAACTGGGCCACTCACCTATAGATCTGTAGATGGCTTGGTTGTTACTGGGATTTCATCACATATAGAAAGTCACTTCATATCAGTGGTCACTCATTAATTAAACTGGGCCACTCACCTATAGATCCATAGATGTCTTGGTTATGAAGGTGCTTCCTTCACCTATAGAGGGTCCCTTCATATAAGTGGTCACTCATTTATAGAATTGGACCACTCACCTATAGATCCATAGATGTCTTGGTTATGATGGTGCTTCCTTCACCTATAGAGGGTTCCTTCATATCAGTAGTCACTCATTTATAGAATTGGACCACTCACCTATAGATCCATAGATGTCTTGGTTATGATGGTGCTTCCTTCACCTATAGAGGGTTCCTTCATATCAGTGGTCACTCATTTATTGAATTGGGCCATCAGCTGTGTAGATGGCTAATCTATTACAGTGCTTAGTGAATGACATAAGCAGTCAGTCACTGGTAGTAAAAATTATTGCTCACCTTCAGGATAGGAGAGCCGCCTATAGAAAAGGTGACATCTTCTAGAGATCCAGTCCATTGTAGATTGAGTCCGTCACCCAATCAGGAGTCCTCTATATGAACGGTCACTCATCTATAGAATTGGTCATTCCCCTAAATTCTTGATGAGCTGTAATAGCAGTCCCAGACATATGTTCAGTCCCTTATGGAAGGTGGGGGGGCGGGGGTATGGAATGGGTCACTCATACATAGAAGTGGAGAGCAGTAGTAGTGTTCATCTATTGGGAATGCATCATTCATGGTATAGAGATTAACACTTATTGAGTATATACAGAAGGCCAGTGGCTTATAGATCTCTTCTAAGGTGCTTGTGAAGCATATAGGATCCCTCAGAGTCTGGTATGGAAAACGCTATTTGAAAATGCAATGTAGAATGTCAGAATGTCAGTTGCTGAAACCCATTCATATACAAGGACAACATCCATGTAGAAAGGGTCACGTATACAAATGGTCACTGTTATGAGCACCATTGTACTTATAACAGAGCAGATGGGTCAGGCCGATGAATGAAGCTCTCATGATCTGACATGGCAACAAATTTTATCGCCTGGTGCTTTCTACTTCTCATCCTGGGCCATCCAGGACTCAGCCTGACATATTTATTGGCCACCAGACAGACCGTATCCTCATTTTCTAACAACACAAAACAGTTTCACACTTATATATATTTGTAACAACCCGGCCCCACACTTCGGAGAGACCCCCCCTCCCCCCCCCCCCCCCCCCAGGCAAAAAAACACTCCTGAGTAGAATGAATTCCTGGTGTTTGTACAGTATCCTTATTATTGTTATTGTTTTTGATATTACATTATATATACTATATCTCATTAATACTTTTCTGCTTTATATTGGGCTCATTCGATTGGGCAAATCGCAGTTTTTTGGGTTTTTTTTTTTTTTTTTTTTACAGCAAGTTGTCATCTTTTGTTGTAAACTGATGATGGTTGTTATATTTTATTACACTTTATGCATCATTTGTGCTCTGGGCATTCCCATACTCGGTTGAAGTCGTCTACTTCATGATCTGTGTCAGTTTGTTTCAGATTCTTCTGAATTTTTGAACATTTATTGTCTGATTTTCAATGTTTCTCAAAAAATTGATTGTAACATTTTTAAAGTTACTGAAAAATATTTGTTTCACTTGTGATCGATTGCTTGTGTAAATGTTAAAGAAGCCTTTTACGACCCTTTATTTGGATGTAGAAGATCCCAGCAGGCATCTGGGTAGCAGGGCATGCTGGGATGTGTAGTATTGCAAAGACGGCAAAAGATTGCTTTGAGTGGTTAGTCATAGTTTAACTTTAACAGACGTACCCCTAGGCTGTGACATGTGTGAGAGCTCAGGGCAGCCATTCTCAGCCAGGGTTCCATGGAACCCTAGGGTTCCTCCAGTGTTTGCTAGGGGTTCCCTGAGGTGTGGCTTATTGACCTCCAATGTGATGGTGCCTGCATTGTTCTGAGGTCAGAGTCAGCAGCATGGCACCATTGAGCTTAGCTGTTTGTAAGGAGGACATTCTGACCACCACGGTAAGGGAGGCATTATTCCTACAATGTAAGGAGGCATCCTTCCAAGTGATCACCAATGTAAGGTGCCCATTCTTCCAACTAGCCATCAATGTAAGGGGGGCATTCTTCCAACTGGCCACCAATGTAAGGGGGCATTCTTCCAACTGGCCAGCAATGTAGGGGGCCCATTTTTCTTACTGGCCACCAATGTAAGGGGCCCATTCTTCTAACTGGCCACCAATGTAAGGGGCCTATTCTTCTAACTGGCCACCAATGTAAGGGGCCCATTCTTCTAACTGGCCACCAATATAAGGGGCCTATTCTTCTAACTGGCCACCGATGTAAGGGGCCCATTCTTCTAATTAGCCATCAATGTAAGGGGGCATTCTTCCAACTGGCCACCAATGTAAGGGTGGGTATTCTTCCCACTGGCTATCAATATAAGGGGCATTTTTCCCACTGGATTTAGCATGGCTTCTCCAAGACATGCACATTGTTTCTAGGGTTCCGCCGCAATTTGTGCGTCCTCCTGGCCCCATTTGTGGTGAAATTAATGGCAACGCAAGCTCGCATGTTTTGCCACGTAGATGCAAATGCGGGCTTAGTCGCACAGAGTGAGAAATTTCGACAGGAAAATCATGTGCAAAATTGTCTCAAAAATTGTTGCAAATTGTGACAAATTATCTTTGATGTATAAATGAATGTCGTTTAGAGTCCTGCGCCCCCCTACTGCTTGGCGCAGCTATGCTCTTATTTATCCGTGCGCCCAAAATATGTGCAGTCTTTTCAATTACATTTTGCACAAATTGCAGCAGAACAGGTATGTTCCTATTTCTGGTGCGCATACCGCGTTACGCAGGAACGTCCATTGCAAATTAATAATTATTTGTTGCACCAGTAAAAAGACGCAAAAACTTTAATGCCACACCGCCGATTGTTTATTGGTTGATTGATTGGAAAACTTGAGAAAATTTCCATTGATGTCTAAATTTCGAAATGAATTCTCTGTCAGACTGTGTTGACGTAACAAGCGCAGCGTTCAGCGATAAGGACTGTGCGCCGGTGGTCGTTTGGAACGCGAACCTTCCTACGCAGTCCGTTTATCAGTCGCTGAAAGTGGGATTAGGATAAACCTTATGTGTTAGGGATAAAGTCCTCCTCCAGACTTCAACCAATGCAAATCAGTCCCTCGACTTTACAGAGCTCGCCGTGACTTCCATGTGCTTTCAATCTGCGTCAGAGCGGCGGTGGAGTCAGAGGTAGATGGAGGTGTCTGAGCATCCTGTGCGGGAGAGGACGCATGGCCTGTCAGCGCTCAGAGAAGAGATATCTGTACAGGGAGAGGATGTGTCACTTCCATTTGCTGGTGTAGTAGCGGAGAGCACAATGGCGGTGATGGCGCTCTTGTAATGAAGCGTTTCCGGGAATACCTGGGGGCTGTGCTGGGGAAAAGTTAATTGGGGGATCTGAAGTATTTCATCCTCTCCGCAGGGTGCAGGAGGGGCGCAGCCAGGATGTCAGGCTGAGGTCATCTTTGAAGACTGTGGCTGGTATATCTCTCTGCGTGAGCCGACTGTACATCGAACGCCAAACAAACGGCTAAAAACACAAATCAAATACATACATTTGGGCTGCCCAAAGATCTGTATTACGGTCCATCAAGTCCTGAAATGTACAAAGCCCCCATCACATAGCACTGCCGGCTTCATGACCTGACTTTTCTCCACTGCAGTTAAGTATCAGAGCTTGGTCACCTCCCCGCCCCCAGCTTGTGATTGGACAGTAAAGGAGCAGAAACCTATTTATAAAGGTGTCACTCTGCTCTGTTTTGCTGGCAGTTTATTCCTTGCCTACACATGAGCTGCCCCTCCCTGTGAGAGGTGCTGCTGTACAGGGTATGATATGAGGTGTTAATTAAGTCAAATTATACTATTATGTTATAAAATTACATTTTATGTAGATCTAAATCCCAACTGGGGGAGATTTAGGGGTCTATTTATAAATGTTTTCACACAACTTCCATCCAGGATTTACACATTTTCCCAATCAAATCCAATTAGATAAATATGTGAATCTTGGGTGAAAGTTGTGCCAATCATCTGTGCAGTAATCCAGTGTGAAACTTGAAACTTCCTGTAATGAATACCGGTCATTGCTGCTCTCTCTCCTTGTGCAGGGTGGCTGGTCTTGTCTCCGCCCCCTCCTGTAAAAAAGACTGGTCACTGTTGCTCTCTCTCCTTGTGCAGGGTGACCGGTCTTGTCTCCACCCCTCCTGTAATAAAGTCCGATCACTGCTGGTCTCTCTCCTTGTGCAGGGGGACTGGTCTTGTCTCCGCTCCCTCCTGTAATAAAGTCCGATCACTGCTGCTCTCTCTCCTTGGGCAGGGTGACTGGTCTTGTCTCCGCTCCCTC